CTTTTCCAACCTAGACGATTCTATGATTCTATGTAAGAAATTAACTCCCGATACCTTGTAGGTGTAGGCACCCTCTCTGATGGTGCCTACCTTAGGAGTAGGTTTACACCTCAAGAACCAAGTTGCCCGCTTAAAAATTAAGCTGTGACTATGAAGCTATCAGGTGGGCTTACAGGTCTCTGGTACGTATTGTATACTCAGAGCAGAAATTCAGGGCATACAAGTTGGGCTTAATTATTTAGAGCTAAAGCCTTATTTCAGATTAATGGTTTCCCTTCAGATGTGGGTAGCTACTCTGGGTGCTGAACTGTAACGGAGGTCTCGGCCCCAGACCATAGTGGTCTCAAGGCTACTTTTGAGGCTTTTGGGGCCAAAAACTCTGGGTACTGTCTTGCTTGTCCAAGTAAGCATGATGGGCTGCAGAGAGTAACTTCTACTCCCAAGTGTCGTGATTTAGCCCCCGCCAGCAGCTCAGCACCACACAGCCGCTCGCTCACTCCCCTTACCCCGATGGGATGGGGGAGAGAATCGGAGGAGTGAGAGTGAGAAACGCTCCTGGGCTGAGATAAGAACAGTTTAAGAATTGAAATAAAGTAAAATAGTAATGATAATAACAACAATATAATAATGATAATAACAATAATAATATCCAAAGCAAGTGATGCCCAATGCAATTGCTCACCACCCGCCGACTGATGCCCAGCCAGTTCCCGAGCAGCGATCGCTGCTCCCTGGCCAACCCCCCCAGTTTCTATACTGCCCATGATGCCGTATGGGATGGTATGGCCCTTGGGGCAGTTTGGATCAACTCTCCTGGCTGTGCCCCCTCCCAGCTTCTTGTGCCCCTGGCAGAGCAGGGGAAGCTGAAAAGTCCTTGACTGGCATAAGCAGCGCTGAGCAACAACTAAACCATCAGCGTGTTATCAGCATTCTCCTCCTACTAAATCCAAACCACAGCACTGTGCCTGCTAGTAGGAAGAAAATTAACTCTATCCCAGCCGAAACCAGGACACCAAGTTAGCTGGAGGCCACTGGCAGCCTCTGGGTCTCTAACAAGGGCCACAACTTCTTAAAGTTGAATTACTGCCTAGATGTTTTGTAAGTAATAAGCAATGCGTTTTGCTGTCCTGAATGGGAACAATCTGTTTGTTTTGTCAGATTTCTCTTCATTCTGCTGGGACCGAAGGGCAAAGCAAAGTCCTATCATGAGATCGGCCGAGCCATCGCCACTCTGATGTCAGATGAGGTAGGTGTCTTGACATCTCCTGTGTGAAATGCGTTCTCCCAGGGGTCACTTCATGAGCTAATAATGTCCTTTTCTCCACCGTGGTCGACGGGAACGGGCATACACATAAAGCTGAAATATCCAAATGTCGCCTCCTAATTCCATCTGTTTACATAATTATTTCATCTGGCTATAAGTTTTTCTAAAAGCATGACTACAGGAAGTTTTTGTCCATTGTGTGTATCTTCCTGCTAGCAATCACTCTTTCAAATAGGCTATGAATTAATCTTTGAATTAATCTTGAGGCGGCGTGCGCCCTGTGTCACATTCCACGATCACGGTAACCTGCAGCTACGCTCCAGGTAATTGCCGCAGAAATGGTTACACCCAGGACACGCTGTTGTGTGTTGCGCTGTATCCCAGAGCGCTTCTTCGTTCAGGCGGTGCTTATATATTATCCATGAGTAGCTAGCAATTACTCACTAATCATTCACCTCAAAGAGATGACTGGGCTTTCAATATTCATTTATGGCGTCTTTCTTCCAGTGTCCCCTGGGCTCTGTGCGCCTGGGGCTGATTTACATTACGTTTGTTTCTTGCTTTCTCCTTACGTTGTTTTGCTCTCGTAGGGTTCCCTTAATTACCGCTCGCCCGGTCTCAGCTCTTCTGTTCTCTGTCATTCCACTGCTTGGAGTAATGGTCTAGTTTCCATAGCCCCAAAGTCCTCCTTCCTACCACCGACTGTTCGCATTACATCTGTCACGCGCGCTGATCCACCTTCACTCCAAGTAGTCCGAAAGATTTTTGTAAAATTCAGCATTAGTGCTCTTTTCCCTCTCTTCTCTCATTCGCTCTTTATCAGTAATACTAGGCCTTTCAGTAAAACCAGTTTGTGCTTCTTGTTATTATTTTTGAGTCTATATTGTCATCATTTCTATGTCACAGGGTTGAAAACTAACCTATTTTTTGACAGACTGAAGTAGGTAGGAAAAGGAGATCGACGCTTTTTTATGGCTTTGTAAAAGTACCTTCTCAAAGTATAATTGAAACTCCTTGTTTATAGGAAAACTCTTTTTTTTAGCCTGAAAGAAATGGATAATTGCTTTAGTAACATATTTTGCAAAGGTTAGAAATGTATATTTTGCTAAAAATTAGAAATACACCTGCAAGAAAAGAATCTCTATTGTTAAATGACCGACCAAAGGGAAGGGGCTTTCCTGAGGTTCACACACCCTCGTGCCAATTGCCCTGATGCTTTTTGAGAGGCTTTTGAGAATGAGTAAGTTGTTTTCGTGGAATAAGACTTGGTAGCTGCCTCTGGAGTCTGTGCCACAGATAATGCAAACCTTTTTTACATGGAGTCTCTCTTTTCCTTGCAGGTATTCCACGACATTGCCTATAAAGCCAAGGACCGGCAGGACCTGATCGCTGGCATCGATGAGTTTCTGGATGAAGTCATTGTGCTCCCCCCTGGGGAATGGGATCCAGCCATTAGGATAGAGCCCCCCAAGTCTCTTCCTTCTTCAGATAAAAGGTAATAGTGGGAGACAGGCAGGTTTGGCTCTGCGATGAAGGATCACAGATCAATCACATCGAAATTGTGCATCAATTCTGGAAAGGTGATGGGAAGAGCCGGTGCTTTGGGTGCACCAGGTTTATGGAGCAACTGCAGCGTGACTTGCATCTGTCTGTCTGCATTTAGAAGGTACTAGAGATATTTTCAGGTTGGTCTTAATAGCTGGAGGGAGGATGTTCTTGCAATTCTGTACCCTTTAAGGTGATGGTGTAGGCGTATAGTAACATACGTGGGGGTTATCCAGACTCTTTGGGGTTCTGCTTGGTCTTTCTAACACGCTACATTCCACTCTGGCTGCCAGCAGGTCAGTCTTTTAGTCCCCTTCGTACAACACAGCTTCAGGAAAGGCTGTGTAACGCTTGTTTGGAGGAACTGCGCGTGGACAATGTTTTGTGGAGCCATCAGGCAGTGCAGTGAGCCTCAGCTTGGCTTGCCTTCTTGCCTAGGAAAAACATGTACTCCGGTGGCGAAAATCTACAGATGAATGGAGACACGCCTCATGATGGAGGGCACGGCGGCGGAGGCCACGGGGACTGCGAAGAACTGCAACGAACTGGCAGGTCAGTAACGCGCCGCTCGGCGTGACGCGCTTGGCATTATCCAAGCAAGATGGCAATGTTGCCCTTGCAGAACTGTTTTGCCCCTTTCTGCTTTCTGTCTCGACATACTGTTGGTATAGCTGTGACCCCGAAACGTGTCCCGGGGTTTTTAGTGCCCAGCTTAAGACTGCCTGAAGGGTTCTGAACATCCAGGCTCAGCAAGTTACAAAATGTCTTAAATGAGGCACTCATAAATGAAAGAAGGCCTAGGTAGGTGTTGGCGATTGAAGGCCTGTGAAGTTAGACGAACCGTAAGGGATGTAAACGTGGCAGGTACAAACGTGGCAGGTACAGCTGCAGTTGCCATTCGGATTGCTCTAAGTGCTGTAGCCAAAAGCAGAGACGTTCCCTTTTCCAGGCATTCCCAATGTAGTTGCACAGATGAAGGCTTTTACGGGATAGAAATACAGAAGGTAACGGAGCCTGAGGCCTTACTCTCTGCTTTATTTCTCTGCTTGTATGCCATGTAGAAGTCTACTAGAGTGGGAATGCAGTTCAGGTGGCCATAAAACTCTGCTCAGCATCTCAGGGTCAATACACAAGTTTTTGTGGTGGCATTGCGCCCTGCGCCCTCCCTCCCACTCTATATTTTTTTAAGTTCTAGTAGAATATCTAAATTCTCGGAGAAAAGTCTGAAAGCCTGAAATGACACATTGGTGTGTACAAGGCAGTCGATAAGTCCTGATTCCGGGTCGGAAGGTAACGTGTGCCCATCTGCCACGTACCTCTCTACGTACAGAGCGTCCGAACAGTCCTGGCGTTGGTGGTGAACTGCGTACCAGGGACCAAGAGGCAAAAGAGCAACGTTTTTCATGCTCGCAGCGTCAGAGCCACGTGGAGTTTGTAGGACTTAAATGCTGTCTTGTAGAAAAAGAATATGTCTGCAAGTGGAGCTCTCTTGTTCTCCAAGATGATTTCACTTAACTTGGGTTTTTACTCCTAGTTCTTTTTCTCGTTAACAGTTTGAAGCATTTTTCCATTTCGCAGATTGTTTGGCTCACCCGGCCATTGTGTCTGCCACGTGGAGAAATTTAGGCAGGGATTTAGACTAGACTTAATATATTTTACTACATCAACCAGTATAGTTGGGGGGGGGGGGGGAGAAACCAACCCAGACAAGCTTCCTGAACTGCACACTTTCGTGGTCTGTTTCAGCAGAAGTAGGGCTTGTGTTCCTGAAATTTGCCTCTTTCCAGCTGCATCACGTTTGAGATACTATCTTTCTTTACAACATTATCTCAGTGATATCCCTGGACCATCAGCGCTGCGATAAGACTGTTATGTAATGCGATGATCTCACTCCTTTCAGATAATACTTCATTTCTGGCAACATTTCTGATGACTTATCTTGGTGACTTTCACTGTAAAACATTTTGCACGAGTCTTCTATCGCCTGTCTTTTTCAGATTCTGCGGTGGCTTAATCAAAGACATAAAGAGGAAAGCGCCGTTCTTTGCCAGCGACTTCTACGACGCTTTAAATATTCAAGCCCTTTCAGCCATTCTTTTCATCTACCTGGCCACAGTGACCAACGCTATCACTTTTGGAGGATTGCTTGGCGACGCTACGGAAAACATGCAGGTTAGCAAGAGCTTTCAGAAGCACAACTGCCTCATTTGCCTTTCGCTATCTACAGTCAGAGGGGGTGTTTGGCCACCGACAGAGCTTGAATTCTGGGTACAATTAATAGAAGTATCCTGTGTTTCCACTAAAAGTTGGCTTGCTTTCTCTACTGTTGGACGGCTGTCCTTTGAAAAATTGCACAAGCAGTTACCTTAAATGGTGTTTGAACGATGGCCAGGCGGCAGAGAAGGTCCTCGCTCCTTCTGTATAGAGCAGTTCCTCTGCTGTGCTCTCTGTGCTTGTGTCTCGGCTGGACCGTTTCAGTCCAATTAAGCTTACTAAGTCTAATTCAGACTTTCCATGTCATCAGAGCATAACGCTGTATCCTCTGCGTGACTCTTGCAATCCCTGGACTTCTGCCTCTCTGGTGAAAAGAAAATCCTAAGATTCATAGGAAAGCGAGTGAATCGGGAGATGTGACCCGGGAGAAAACGGCGAGTTCTTTAGAAAGACGAATTTCCTAAGAGTGGAAGATCAGATCCCGAGAACCGTATTGCATATCCAGAGACAGGCTGGATCAGCAGTGAGGACAAAAGCAGGGGCTTCGAAGGATGGCTCAGTTTTAAATGAAGTCTAAAGGAAAGGGGTTCTGTAGTAACACCGCTGTAGGTCCTTCGTGTTTGACTGGAGCAGAATTATGCTCTAGCAGTGCACTTTAGTATTCCTTTGGCTTTTTGACGAGGAAGAAAACACAGGAGGTTGTATTTAGATAGATTCAGTGCAGCCACGTTGAATCTCCTAGCAATAATTAAGCTCATAGTGACAATGACTGAATTATTAATTTACACAGGTTTAATTAAACCAAACCTAGAAAAGGGGGGCACTTATCTGGAGCGCTACACTCCCCCATGATAAATTGCAAGCTAGAGGAAGGTTCAGTAGCTGGTGGAGTGTCCAACTTCCCTCTCCCCTGTACAAATACGGTTTACCTCTTCTGAAACTCAGCTCTGCAGCACTCGTGCAAATAAATGCATGATGCACAGTGTTAAAAATAATAGTAAGTGGAAGTAGAGAAGGGAAAGGCTTCTGGGATCCACCAGTGAGCATCGCTCTTCTGTCACCGAGTAGCAGAGCAAAGTCTGGCGGCTCTGCATCTGTGCGAGGTGCAGTCTTGCAAGTAGGGGGACGAAGGGGAAATGTTGCCTGGCTCCAAATTTAGCGCACAGAATCACTTTATTATGTCCAAAAGCCTCTTCTGTTACCTTTGTATCCCATGAACATTTATTATCAAGTAGCAAAATATTTTTTTGCCACTGAAGCTGACAGTATGGTTCCTTAATGCTCACAAAAAGAAAAGTTGTTTTAAAAAGAAGCACCTTGCATTTCAGGAAGTTGGAATCACAGAATGCTTTGGGTTGGAAGGGACCTTTAGAGCCTACCCAGCCCAGCCCCTGCAGTGCCAGGGACAGCTTTAACCAGAGCAGGGTGCTCAGAGCCCCGTCCAACCTGGCCTGGGATGTTCCCAGGGATGGGGCCTCCACCGCCTCTGGGCAACCTGTGCCAGTGCTTCACCACCCTCAGTGTAAAAAAATGTCTTCCTTATGTCTAGTCTAAACCTATTCTTCTTCAGTTTAAAACTAAAATAGGAAAATAGGTCATTCATCTGACAAACGGTAAAACTGCTGCCCCATCAAGCAGTGACGGTCCCGTTGCTTGCGCTTGGTCGTATTGTTGGAGTAAGCCACGTGCATTTGCCGTCTTTTGGTTTGGCTGCTGGATCGTCAGCACCGGCTCTGCAAGGGGAGGAGATCCCTGCCTTTGACCCCCGTCCCCAGCAGCCTTTTCCTGGCGTTGCCCCATTTGCGGCCGTGCACGGCCTCGCTCGTAGTTTGCAGCTGAGCTTTGCTGCCGCCCCTCTTCCCTTGGGAGCCTTCCTGCTCCAGAGCGTACACCAGGGAAGGAGAGGGGTGATAAAAGAAGGTAGGCCTCCAGGAGAAGAGCCGATAACCCCTGTGCTCCTGGGGGACCCCTCTGCTGTCTTCCACCTGCCGGGAATTGATGCATAAACGCATTTCCTTTCATACCTCTCATGCTGGGGTGAGGTTATTCTTCCAAGAACCTCATGAACCTGCTCCATGGGATTATATCTGAGTGTGCAGCCTTCCTCTGCTTTAAAATGGTATTCATTTATTGAACGTGACAGTCTCGTTTCGCCAAAGCACAGCTGAGATTGTGACTGCGTAGGAGGGGAGGCGCAACGGGGGGGGAAAGATGGAAGGAAGAGAAAACACAGGTTGCCTTTAGCCCGTAGTTTTCCCTGCTGTAGATAAAACCCAGCCTGAGTTTTCCTATTGCTCGGAGAAAAAAAAAGTCCCTAGAAAGACAAAAGCTTGCAGGAACACTTTGTTTTGAGCTCAGTGATTTATTCTCCGTGTTGAAAAGGGAAACCATTGATGCTCTGCAGTTAAGAATACTGCTTTGGTAACGGGGAAGCTCTGCAGCAAATAGAAACCCAGCGGAGCCATAGATGACGAAGACTCCAGGAGCAGCAGAAGGAACCAACACCCAAGTCCTGCCGAGGGCTTTGTCCCTTGCTTCTCAGGGGTTTGTGCTCAGCGAGGAGGGAGTTTGGGGTGCAGCCGGAGAGGAGCACTGACAGCAAGGAGCAGGGCTGTGCATGTGCCCCCCCGGCCGCCCACTCCCCATAGCCATTTTGCCATTAAACTCGGTTCACAGAAGTGGAGCCAAGTGCAGGAAAATCATCACCGAGCTGCTAGAAAAACCAAATCCCTCCAGTCAGTTCATAAGGTAGCCAAGGCTCAATGCAGGAAAACATGGTCTATTGTTTTCTCATTTGTGCACTTCAGCAGTTACTTGCTTCTCATGTACAACGACCGGTTGAACTTACTCGTTTTTATTCATGTACTGATACAAAATTGAAGTCCCAGCAGTTTTTCTGAATGGTTCACTGGTGGATCAGAGGTTTAGAGAGTTTGGGCACAACTGGCTTTTCTTTTGCCATCTCCCTTCAGCAAACCTTTATTCACCGTCCTTGTTTGAAAAGGCATTAGGTCTGTTGGCTTCTGCGGGAGCCTGGAAAGGGTTTTGACTGCAGGTTCTCAACAGAAGAGCAAAATTGTGCGTTCCTCGTGCTCAGATGCCCCTGTATCATCAGAGCCGGAGTGAAGCACCCCAAGGCACCCAATTCGAGCTGTTCCTCCAGGGAGCTGCTCAGTGGGATCAGGGCCCAGGTTCACGTCAAGTGTTGTTCAAACCGTTGAGCATTCCT